AAACTTGAAATGCTGAGGAAGCCAGGTAGTATTTCTAGAACTGTTTAAGGATAAATGCCATTCCCAAGCCCTGAAGGCTACGAAGAGATGAAGTTCAATCAGTATCTCTTGATCTTCACGGCAGCTGCCCTAATGTGCTTATATTCTTCAGTAATTTCAGGGAAAAAAATAAAGAAACCCGAAGAAGAACACTGCAACTGCCACAGAAAAAGACCCTGACGTTCCCCATAGCCAGCCACTCCATGGCTTTAAAAGCAGAAGGAGAAATGAACCCAACAGAAGTAACATTGCTATTTTAAGAAGAGTCACATTATTTGGATTGTTCTAATCAAAGAAACTGTGACTTCAAAATTAGCAAAACTAGTTAAAAATAGGGGAAAAGATCTTGTGAGAAGTTTCAAAGCTTTTTTAATTTACCAGGTCCAATGTTGAACCACTTCCCAAGAACACATGTGCTTGTTTTTAAATAGAAATTTTAACCCAAGAAGTTCTCAAAATCATCACAGAAACTTTAATTTACCAGCAGGAGAAACCCACGAGCTACAAAAAACTGAGAAAGACGACATGGGTTTTTGAGAGACAGAAATATTTAACAATTCCGAAATTTATGTAGATAAAAATTCAGAATATTTTTAATTAGAATAGCAAAAAAACCCCCGTCGTGGATAGCATTGCAAAAAGAGATTAAATAATTAAACAATGGCCTTTCTGCCATCACCACGTAGTTTAGTGTAAAAACTGTGACCAGCTCTAACTGGAAATAGCCTTCTCACAGCTCTCTGAGTTTGCACTTCACTAACCCCTAGATAGTACTAAGCAGTTCCTGCTATCCTTTGCAGCAAGCCCTCAATTACCATCATTAGTGTTTTCTCACGGGAATTTCACTGCAGTGAGATGCTTCAGCACTTCTCTCTGCTCACCCTGACTTATCCAAGTCCAGGTAAGGTGTAGTCAACCCAACTCAGTCAACAAATGGCAAATCAATATGAACTGACTGTGGTAACTGGGTATCAGTAGGAAACAGGTCTGAACTCAAAGCCTGAGCCATTCAGCTGAAGCACCAGGCACCTAAAATTCATCTCTGATGCTGAAGGAGAGCAAAGACACAAGATTTCCCTCAAGGACCTTTCTCTTGGGTTCTGAAAGTCTGCTGGACTTTCTCAAAATCGGAAGGGATAAGCATTTACCAAACCTAAGCCAGGCTTGGCTGACCATGGCCAGGCAGCCGCCGTAAGAGGTCCAAAGAGATTTCAGTGTGACTTGTTGCATATTCTCTTTAACATCCACCATTCCTCTAAAAGACACTTTTCCCCTCATTTTTCTCAGGCACACTTTGCTGATGGGCAGAAAGTCAACTTAAGGCCTGTATCTCAAGAGAGTCTCGCTCCTGCCATGAGGCTGCTATGTAGAGTTCACTATGATAAGCACTTTGGTGTTCACACACCTCTGTGATCGAGTCATTACCCAAGTGTTTCGCAGCACTGATAAAAATCCAAGAATCAAAATATTTTAAAAACCCCAAAATTAAAGGTGCACTGATAGGCTAAAGCAATGGTGTTGCTTTATGTTTCCAAAAGCAACATTCAGGCAATGATTAAGGTAAGCGACAATACAACCATCACAGTCACAAAATACTAGTGTTAGCCTTGGGGATATGCTTCAGGATTGGGCTGTAACCAAGGCAACCCAATCTTCTGGAGAAAGTTTAATTACACAGTTTTAAAGCCATGGTTCAAAGATACAGCAAAACTGGCTGTAGGGCTGCTTGTGACATACGGAAAGTGCCACATCCACCCGGCAGGAAGCACAGATCTCGTAATAACTCATCTTGTAACAACTCATCTTTCAGTTGTCGAAATGTTACACTGGATCGGCCACCGAGTGCCCTCCTGCAGTTGCCATGAGTGCACCTTAAGGAAAACAAGGTCTCTTTGGCAAAAAGACTCCTTCTTTGGAACAGATAAAACAGGATATATTATAAATATGTGATAAATATTGTGATGAAGCAATATCCCAGCAGTTCTTAATTGCAGTGCAATTGAGATAAGTCCACCGGCATTTCCTAATTAAATCCTGAAGCATCAGAGGGGAGCTTTCCATACGCATGTGGGTGATGAGAGCCTCTGTGATGTATATAACATTTATGCAATATCTTCTGAATATATTTATAGGAATTTTAGAAGCCAAAACCACATGCATTACAGAAAATAAAGAAGTGTTTTGGATGCTCACTCCTTCCAGATGGCTTTGGTGTTTCAGGGGTGAAAACAAAAGCACAATAGTACCTTTGCCCAGATGTGTCAGGCCTAGAAATTAGCCGCAGTACCTCAAATATCAACACTGCTCAATCTTTGTCAAACATCTTCCATCCATGGAGGATTTAATGCTTGCAAAGTTTGGCTCTCACCTCCTCGCACGCCAGCCCAACTCACCACAGCACCCGAACAACACAGAGGACTCAGATCTACATCTCCTGGCTGGCCCTTAGCTTTGAGACGGGCTGGAATCCCACATGTACATACCAGCAAACTTTTCTGGAAAGAGAAGACAGAACTCCAAAAATCAGTAGTTTGGGCCAACCTGCGATTAGTTTAATTCCCACAGCGTCTCTGGGAAGCTGGAAAGGAGCCCTCTTGTGCAGAGGGCAGATGATGAGAAGTCGTATGACTTGCTCCAAGTTCAGCCCATGGTAGGGCCATAAAACCCCAAAGGCTCTGCACTTGAGTCCTCCCTAGTCTAGGCCACATTCTGCAGGAAGGCACAATAACATCAATTACCTCAGTGTTAACCAGGAGAGTCTAATCAGCCACTTAATTTAATACTAACAAGAATAAGGAAGATCAGAGCTACGTTTGCTGCCTGATGAATGGTTTATTCTGCACCCAAACACATCACATCTGCGCTCGCAGAGATGTAAAACCCTCCACAGCCACACAACGGTGCTGGCAATCCCAGCTCCGATCTCCTGTGTTTCTGTAGGGTTAGCTCAAACGGAATTTGCTCAGTGGTTGCGAGGGTTTTTTGACTGCTGGTGGTGCAGGCTGCATGTGAAGAAGTGAGCTCAGAGGGACCTTATGTGCCACGGTTGAGGCAGCAGCGGGAGCCCAGATGGAACCTGGCAGCAGTCACGGTGCAGAAAAATCTGTTTACGTCTGAGGCAGCGAAATTCTTGAAGGCCAAGGTAGAAATCCAATATAAAAAAAGGCAAACTGCTGCAGCACAGCCACGATGGTGGAGAACGATCCCTTTCGCTTAATGATGCCACCCTTCCACAAAGGAGGATTCATTCCGAGCTGTGAATTTTGGGCATCTTCCCTGACACTGCTGGAGTTTGCCAACACATAAACCATGTAAGGCACAGAGGTTTCAGACTGGTATTTCTGCAATTGAATTTACTGTATACAGCTAAAGCTATTAAATTTCACAGTGCTCTTCCATGAAGGTTAGTGCTAAACTGAGAGGAAATGCACCATTTGCAGGAGCTGCAGAGATTATCTCAATTTTTCCTCTTTGTTTCCTATTGGTTGAGCTCATCGAACTTTTCTTTTCAGCATTAGTGGGTATAATTATACCAGGCTTCTGTTATAGAGAATAAAGATGAAAGCACCACACTCTTACTGTTTTTTCAGTGGTTGCATGAAGAAACTTCTTATGCTTACTCTTGAAAAGTGCCAGTTTGTCACTTATATGGTCAATCAGCCTGCAACCGTTTCAGTTCTGCTTCTTAATTTGTTAAGTGCAAAGAAAAGGTATTTTCTTTGATTACATCTCCAAATAAGATATTAATGTCAATTCAGTGATATGAAAATTACTCCCTTACTATGTAATTTGCACCTTAGTTATTATGGGTTTCATGAACAAGAATATTATAGCTGCTCAGAGTGCTGTGGATTTCTAATTTTCTTTTTTTTTAATTAACCAAACTGAAAAAAAACCCCCAAAAACCCAGCAACATAAAAAAAAAGATTATCTGCACCCAGCTTTTATTTACCTTGTCATATTTATTAATTCTGGACCAAAAATGAAAATGCTGCTGCTGGCCCAGCACTCTTCTGTAATGACTTTTCACCTGAGAAAAGTTACAAGTGGCTGGGATGAAAATGAAAGAGGGGAAAAAAAAATAAGCTTACTTTTTAGAATGGCATAGAGAAGGGTTTAATACCTTCCTTAGCTTTCTTAAGATAAAACCTGATTTTGTTGGAGCGTCGCTTTGCACTGCAGTTCTACGCAGTCATTTTTTTAAACCACTGGGTTTTTAAAAATGTGTTTCCATCCTTAAAAGACCCCCTCAAGAGACACGATTGGCTGATACCTCTGGTAAATCAAAAGCACGTTGTGCGTCTGTGTAGTGTGTCTGTGTGTGTAGTGTGTGCAAGCTCACGTCTTCCTGTGATTGCTCATACATTGTGAATCGGAAGCATCACTACTGAATAAATTTATGCAATAGCAAAATATAATTTGGTAAGAAAAAGAAAAAAACCCTATTGAACTGGAAGGGAATGGAGACAAGTAAGGGCCTAACGTAGAAGTGGCACTGTGTTATGATGGGAGAAGCGCTGGGTCTGCCCTCACACCTTCGAGGGCAGTGGAGCTGCTTCTGCTGGTGATTTAGGTCCTGTTAAAGCCAAAGGGAAGCTCCTCATTACTTCCATGAGAGCTGGTCTCAAAATAAAGTTGGCAGAAAACTACCTCAGCCATCTTTCACCTCCTACCAATGTACTTCTTTAAGAGATGGGAGCACAAAAATACTGTTAGGACCATGTTCAGACCTCCTCCTACAGGATGATAATTCAGGTCTCTGACCACTTATCTCCTGTCAAGGGCAGTGTGAACATGGCCTCTCCAACTGCCCTCTTGTTCCAAAACCTTCCAGTTTTACCTTTTTTTTTTTTTTTTTTTTTTTTTAAACAGAGCTGCAGACCCTATGCTGGCAAGAAATCATGCAAAGCTTGTGCAATATCCCCCAGCGGGCATCCTGGGGAGGGGGTCACAGTTGGTACTCAGAGATCAGTGCTGGCCTTGGCCGTCAGAGCCTGGATCCGAGCAGAGTTGCAGGTCTTGCAAAGGATGTGCCCGTCCAGAGGGTAACAGCCCTGGTTGTCCCCTTCAGACAGGAGGCCCCCACAGTCCTAGGAAATAAGCAGACAGAAAGAGCGAAGTAAGTAAGAAAGAAGAACGAGATTAACCGAGGAATGTATTAGTCAAAAAACCTCTCTCCTCACTCTCCACCTTGTAACAGGATCCAGCCTGAGTCAGCGTAAAGCACGAAGCTGAGGTACGTGATGTCTTTCATGATTAAGCCATTTCCTGATAAGAGACAATGCTGCAGAGAAGATGGGTTCCCAAGCTCTCTGCTGAATTTAATCCAATTGAATAGAAAAAGGAGATTATTCCCTTCGCTTTCTGAGAAAGGAAAGGTCTTTAGCATTGGAGAAAACATCAAACTTAAGCACATATTTATTAATGCAAAAAAAGGATAAGAAAAAAGCATCACTGGGAAGGAAGTTTGGTACCAATATCTGACTACAAGTAATCTCCTTTGGAAGACTTAATGCCACAAAGCTGTAGCATCCATTCAGGGGTGACAGCTAAGCAAACTCCCTGCCAGTGTCCCCTTACCAGAACTGTCACCTGTGTTTGCATTGCAACTGGCCCCAGAGAGGAGAAGGGAAATATCACTGCTGTTCCCTTTGAGATAGTTGAGGCAAGGCCAAGTGAGTGTCTGTGTCCTGTGCTCCCCACCGCCTCCACTTCTGACATTCGTACATGTGAAGCCCAGATATCTCAGCCGCCAGCATCAGGACATGTTGGATGACAAATTAGGCTCTACAAATTTTTAAAGATGCCCCTGCATCTTTAAAAAACCTGTGCCTAAGTAATGAGCTCATATGTACCCTGGAAGCCAGTCAGACTGAGAAGTAAACCAGATGCCTCAAGTCTCAGCCTAGACTATTAAGCTTTAGTCCATCCTTCTTTCCAGTTAAAGTTATTAAAACGTGAAACTGCGATAAGAAATACATTTGGTCTCATTTTCTTACCCTGCCATCTGGCTGATGTATTATCCAACAAGTAACGCTTGCATTGAAGCATTCGTGAAGGTTCCCTAACACAGCTGTTCCCACATGTTAATTGCTTCAAGGTGATTTTTCTTCTCTGTCTTCGGATTCTTACCATCAAAATTATATGAAGTGCATAATGAAACTGAACAGCAGAGTAGCACTAAAAGCACTGCGCAAACAAGAATGATCATGTTTATGTGTCCATTAAAATTCTTCAACCCAGAGCCATATGCTGAGTTTCCTGTACAATCTTGCTCAAATTCTAACATGCATCAGCTTTCATTCTAAGAACATAAACATGAGCAATGTTGGTGTCCAAGCTTTAATTTATGATGTTCTCAGATATTAAGCCCTAATTACCTGAGTCGCATTCTCTTGCTCTCCTAATGAACCTGCTCTAACCAAGGGACCTGATTTTCTTCTCATTTGCGCTGATATAAATGAGGAAAAATTGAAGTAAAAATGAAGTAATTTGGTAGTAGAGCCAGTGTTACAACAGGGTATGCCTGTCGTGTGCACAACACGAGGCAGTGATGAAATTAAGCCAAGCGTTGCTTTCTGTCCTGCGTGTGGTCAGAATACCAACCTCACACCGGTAGCACTGGACGTGGAAGTCACGATCCAAGGCCACAATACGCACAGTCTCCTCTTGTCCTGGGGCTGGCATGATGGGCTCCTTACACACCGAACATCTCGGTGCAAATTTCCTGAAAAAAAGATGAGACGGTCCCAGTCATCCTCAAACTCTGAGCGAATTTTTATTAATTGCACCAGCGAGCCAGAAACATGTGCATTTGTACAAACACACACACGTATATATCACAGTTTGCAGCTTTGCACAGCTGCTTCCTTAGAAAGAAGACAGGAAGGGGCACTTTAGTCTTACAATGTGATTTCAGGCTTGCAGGAAATTAAAGAGCATTCTGCAGACTATTAGGAGAGGACTTCAGGAATATCTGACAGGCAGCAAAGCACATTCTGCTTGCCCTAATTAACAACTAAAGTGCCTGTTGAATGACTTGTGATCGTAACACCTATGCGCTGCTGCAACCATCAGGCTCGACCCTCAGTCTGACTCTAAGAAAGGCCATGCAGCTCCTAAGGTTAGAAAGTTCACTGAGATCTGATCAAGAGCATCTCAAAAAAAGAAAAAGAAAAAGAAAATTGCAGATTGTCTATAGTAGCTAAAAAGTCTTAATAGAGATGGTAAAAAGGCTTGCCTTACACTACACTGATTTGTCGAGGTTTATCCCATCCATTTTAAACTTCTGAGCCACCTGTCCCACCTATGGGCACAGCAGCACACTCCTGGCTGTGCTCACTCTCAAACAAGAAGCACCAGGAAATTTTGACTGGCTGTTATTTTCTAGCTAAAATCGACTCTCAGTTACCCATTAGTGGGTTGCCCAGGCTCAAAAGGGAACAGGTCTGAGTACAGCCCAAGTCAGTTGTATAATGCCAGTCACTCGCTGTGTGAAGGGACTGGCTTGAATCAGGGTCAGCTCAGGGATCAAGAGGAGCACAGACCTTTCTTTTTTCCCTTCTATTGCCCACCATGAGCCCTTTTGGCTAATTCACATTTGTTCTGTATAAGCTCTGGTTTTGCTCCCCACAATTGCCCAGGAGAAGTGGCCATCTCTGCTCCTAGGCAGGTGGGGATGCTTGAAAACCTTTAGCCCGCGGTGAATCATTATTTGCTCTTTTGGTTCAAAACCTATGGGTACCAATTCCCTGGCTGCAAATTCTGTTAATAAAAAAAAGAAACTTGTGCCTACAGAACCTGCTGCCATGTAATGAGAGCTGGGGTCATGGGCTGCGTAGCGACAGAGGGCAATGCTTATGGCAAACATCAGAACAGGAGGAGATCAAAGGCCCGTCTCTATTGAAATGCCTAGGAAAGATTGACTCTGCCACCCATCACATGAACCACCTCAGAATTAACTAGCTTACAAAGAAAAGAAAGGAAAAAATCTATCTGTACTGGGAATAAAGAAAAATATTAATTTCACTGGCAGCAGATGAAAGATGTCTGTGTAGCTGCGATCTAACGAAAAAATGAATTAAACAGTGGCTATAGCGAGCACTCTGAAAAATAACTGAAATGGATCATGATATGACCCGAGCTGTAATCGCAGTTAATTATATGCTGCTTCATGCAGGCGCTTCCTTGTGCCATTTAGTTCAAATGCGGTGCTTAAAAATACTTCTACATTTCTCTGTCCAGGCCACTGTGGGTAATTCATTATGAGCCAAATGCTAACTCCCAGGACCCGGAGATGACTCCCGCAGATTGTAGGGGATGTGGATGTGGGGCCCAAGCTCAGGGGGTAGCTGAGTGACAGCACGAGCATCAGGTACAGTTTTGTTATCACAAGAGGATGTACAAGATGTACCAGGATGTGTCATCCCTGATTAAAAACCCCAATTAAAACCAGGCTGGCCGAAGTGCAGCTGAACACGTGGTTGGCCAAAGACATCCCAAGTGTCACATTAGGTCTTGTGCTATTCCCATCACCATCCCCCAGGTCTTTCACTCAACAACTTTGTGTCCTTTCCTTAGACTGACAGCCTCCCACCACTCACTCTCAGAGCCCTGCAGAGTTTTGTTGCCAGACCCAGTTGCTGCCAAAAGCCTTGAATGTAGGACATCAACTCTTGCTCCTGAAGGCCTGTGAGCCCTTGGCCTGCAGGGCCTGGGCAAGGAGCAGCCTCCAAACCACAAGTGGGTGTGAGGGAAACCCTTCAGGAGCCTAAGTGAGCCTATGCTCAGGGCCAAATCTTACCTTACACAAAGCAAAGCAAGGTAACACAGCAGCTGCCAATTAACCCAGCCTCTCTGAGCGACAGGGAACATCCTGATGTTGGATGTTAATGTGCCAGTCGATCGCGGCTGCTTCCCTTGCTGTCAAGTCAGCCTGCTTCTTTGAGCTTTCAGGCCCACACACTGATGTCACAAGGCTCTAATTAAGTCTACCCCCTTAGAAATTAAGAGATAAATGGTTGAGATGTAAACTCACATTTGTCAGGATTGATTTTCTTTTTTAATTGAGGGGTGTAATGTGTCTGTCTTTTCCATACAGGGGAAACATTTGTGCTCTGATTATATCTACCTGTCTTCCCTAGATTGGTTGTGATGACGGGGGTGGTAGCATGGCAATGACAGAAACTACTTGCGACTATACCTTTCAACTTACTTTAAATAGCAGTTTCACTATAAATTATTACCACGGCTCCATTTCTAGCAGCTTTAAAAAGCTAATTAGCAACTAGAAATGAGAGGAGCTGTGAGCATCCTGTGGCCACCTAGATCCCTCCAGCCAGTAAAGAAACACCTGTGGAGTGCAGCAGTAGAGGATCTCTCCTAATTGCTGGGTTTAAGAAGGGGGGGGGCACTGATGAGGGTGCAGGTACAGGCAGCAAGGAGAAATGTGCATGTGCTGAGCATGGGGGAAGGCAGGGGAAATACAGAGCATTTCTAACAGAGGAACATAAAAGTTATCCATCATTTCAGATCTAAGCAAAACCAAGATTAAGCAGCACCAGCCCCTAATCAATTTATCTTGTGTGTGGCTGCTTGGAGCAAACCTCTGCCTACTACTTAAGAGCCCTAGGAGGAAGTAGCAGAGGGTTCAGAGCTTTTTGGACGCTCAGAATTAAAAAGGAGGGTTTTTAGGGCCGCAAGAGGACAATAAGCAAAGTTGCCAAGAGCAGTTTGGGCCATACTTATGGAAATCCTCGATGCAGTGGATGTTCCCGCCAGCATCCACAGTGAAAGGGATCCCGTCCAGGCTGCGATGGCACATCACGCAGGTGAAGCAGTGGGGATGGTAGGCCTTCCCGGTGGCTCGGAGGATCCTTTCCATAATAGGCTTTGCGCAGACGCTGCACTGCTCCAGCGTGTTCTGCAAACAAAACATACACCACAAATGTGAGCACCATCTCTGCAGGAGGTTCACAAAGGTCACTTGGGTTGGAGGATGCTGCTGGTCTACTTAGAAGCTTTAGGTGCTTTATTTCCATTTCTTCTGGATAAGTACAGTACAGTCAACAAAGATAACAGCACAGGACAAGTCTTTAGTGCAGTGTGAGAACACAAACCAGAGGCTCCTTCAAGCAGCTCTGATACATGATCAGTGATGGCCCATCAGGTGGGTGTATCTGAGACACTGCAGCTTCAGTAGCCAAGAACACACAGAGGAGTTATGCTCCCTGGGTTTTTGCCTCCAGACTGTCCAGTAACCAAATGACCCTTTGCAGCCAAGCTGAGGAGAGACAACCTCCACAATGTGCAGTGCAAAGGTGAAGCTACAACTTCTGGGGCTACACAGAGACCCCCCAACTGCTAATATAGCTCTCATAGAGGATCTTCATCTGCCTTGTAACAAAGTCTTCATCTTTCTCTCCCACCAGGGATGTTACTGCTGAGTCTGGGGAGGGAAAAAGCAGTGTCTGCAATGCAAACATTGTAAGGACAGGAGTTCAGGAGGTCTTAAACTGCTCATTTATCTTTGGCCCATGATGTTTGAGATAACAACTGTGAAATGCCAGTTCTAAGGCCATGGTCCTTGCTGCACAGGTTTTACATACCCACCTAGATGCAAACAACAAATCTGTGGCAATGATTTGGATCGTTTCACTGGACTTTAGGAAGGCAAACTTCACCTACTACTCTTGCTTGATGCATCTGGAGTTATCAAATAATGCTGTCAACCAGTGTTTGAGTCTTGGATGAGGTAGAAAGTCTATGATTACAATATTGATTATGATTTAGACAGAGAGAAATGAGGAGGGGGGAAAACAGAAAGGAAAAAAAAAAATCTAAGGGGACAGAATTATAAAAAGCCATTGGAGAGCAGATTGTGTTGACAAACACAGGAAGTTCTTCTGCTTCCTCATGCAGTAAAATTCCCAGGGAAAGCAGTGCTTTGACTGACCGCAGAGTTACTGCTGCTTTGAGCCAATATTCTCAGGGGCAAGATCCAGCCCTTACATGTGCAGCCAAATCGTACTGTCAGGAGATGAATCACCCACGAGCTCAGAGGGGTTACTTCCACACTCACATGTTTGTTATTGGACATTATCTCTGGGCTTGTAAATCACTGGTCGGATGCAAACAAAAATACACAGGTTCATGTCAGAAGATCAAAAGGATTGGTTTTGGAAAGGTCGATATGAAAAGTTCTGAATTTCAACCCATGCGAGAACTGCCTAACACACTTGTGAAGAGAGCACAGCCAGACTAGCATTGGTTTCAGACTGGGTTTTGCTTTATGCCTTGTAATAATGGGCAGGAAAGAATTACTGCTCGCCTTTCTGTCTGGTTGCTGTCACCATCATCATCATTATAACAGGAGCTAGAATGCCAGAAAAAGCAAGGTCCATAATTTTCCCCTTGGAGAAATAACCTGGCAAATTTACCACTTTGCTTTGCATAAGCAGATCCCATCATCTATGCCCGTGTTGTTCTCGGTATTGCCAAGGCAGGCGTGCAGCAAACCTGCAGATACTGACAGAAGATTGTGCCACTCCTAAGGTATTTGCTATGACACCTTGTGAATATGTGCAGGTACACAGCGTTTGCCTCACCAAGTCACTGCTTGCTCCATTTCCAACATTTGCCAAAAACAGAGGCCAAGGTATGACAACGGGGCAAGCAAATACGAGCAATTGCTTAGTTTATGCTCCCAGCCTCCAGCGATTTCTGGCTTAGGAACCTCCTGAGCCAGAGCTCAACTTCTCCGTACTTGGCCTCAAGTGGATGTTTCTCCCATGAACTTCTCGATTGCTTTTTGAACTCGGATAAACTTTGAGCACCCACAACATGGCCAGGAGTTTCATGGCTTACCTATAAGCTTACCTATAACTTTTTAGGTGGTTTTTTTTAGGTATTACCTAACCTACCTTACGCTGGGGGCTGATTTGCTAAGCAGTCTGTGTCCGCAGCGATGTACCAGCGCTCCAGACTGCAACACTGAGCACAGCTTACCTGGGGCTGTAACCTGCCCTGCAAAGGGGTTTAACACCAACCAGCCCAGAAATGCTCTCACTGTGGATCCAATACAACTCCTACTCACACCTTTCAGACACACCGAGTTTAAGATCACAAAGGATCATTACAACCACTTGACATCTCGCATTAATGCTGACTTTGGTAGGAGTTTTGTGGTGACCAGGACAGCAGGTAATCGCACTTCTGGATTATGCCTTCAGAAAACACGTCTCCTGCTCCTGAATCTCAGCCATGCTGTTTGACATTCTTGCAGCTAAGCAAGACGAGCATTTTAAATTAACCAACTCCTGATTAAGCCTTCTCTACAACCCGAAAATCAGACCTGAGAAATTTATTCTTTTCATCCTTCCAGCGAGGAAAAACAAAGTCATTAGTTTCAGACTCCGGCTCACTCCCTGTCTGGGAGTCTATTTGCTTAAGCCTCTTTCCTTGCTAGAGCCCTGGCTCAGCCTCTTCTCTTCAAGGTGTTACCAGGAGATGCCAAAGGGAAAGCTTCCTTGATTCACGCCCATTTGACATCAGGTTGCTACAAGGCAGGATTTGGCCTGTGGAGCTAACAGGGTTTTCTTTGATTCCCTAATCAGGTTATCCCACATGCCTGAGTGCTGCCCCAGCAGCTAACAACCTGCACAAAGGTATTTCTGCACATTATAGGAATAGCATCCCTGTGAGATTATAAGTTTGGCTTCTTGATTTGTTCTTTCACAGTTTAGCTAACTCTCCTGGCACCTTCTGGAGCTTTCAGACCCTCAGAAAGCCAAAAATGATGAAGGAAGCAACCCTAAACCAGCACTATTTTTCTTCTTTTCCCCCATGCTGTCTTTGCCAGCCCTCTCTGTAATCAACAGGTAGAGCTGAGTGCATCTGATGAGCCATACAGAGGCCACATGGACAAGAGAAAAGAACCGGGCAGGAAACATCAGACCTAGGGGCTGTGGTCAAATTCACATCATAAGAATATGGACCACAAGTCCAGCATGGACTGAGGTGCAGTTTACCATCCTTTTGCTGTATTTTTGAGGCAAGCAATGCTCTTATTTTTTGGGTCTCCAAATCCAAGTAATTTTTGGGGGATGGAAAATGATGGGGAAGTAACCACCCATTTCTAAATGGAAAGTCAGCCCAATGCTGACTGAGTCTAGGTCCACATCTCTTGAGGGCAGAACTGCTTATCCATAGCAAAGAAAGAGAATCTCACCTGGGGAGAATAATAATATATCAGTAAGAAAAAGAGCCGCTAGCAAAGATACACTAAAACATAAGCAAAGAATTGAAATGACTAGGCATCAACTTGCAAGTAAAAGCTAAGAGACTTAAACGTGTAAAGCAGCAAAGTGGGAACAAGCTCCTTGGGAACAAGCATCCGACAGCAAGCGGCAGTGGGAGCTGTTTGAGAGCCTCCCTGTAGCAACACTCGGCCCTTCAGAAACCACAGAAAACCACAGGGAGCTGCTCTGCAGATGTTAGGTTTAACCATGGGACATGGAATAAAAATCCAAACTAATGGGAGAGACTTCTGGGGCACAAGAGCCGTTGAAGACTGGAAGTTAGGAAATGTTTGAATCCCCTCCTGAAAACTTCACATGCCAGACGGAAAGACAGCAAAGGGCTTCAGGGAGCAGAGCTGCTCATCCTGCTTCCCCGATGCTGTAGATTATAACCCCCTTGTAACCAAATTTTGGGTGACAGCAATAACTTGCAATATCGTGCAGCCAAAGGACCTTCCCACAATGATCCAGCCATGAATGAAGAAGAAAAGCTCCCCAGAGACTGGTCATGGCTTCTGCACTTTAATGAACATAAATAATCTCTCCTGCACTCCAAGCAGAGCAAGGAGAGCTCAGACACAGGGACATGAGCAGGGTATAGCTTATTTTGCTGGAAGCTGCTGGAATAAATTGCATTGGCAACTCACGCACAGGGACACGAACTCACTTTCTGTGAGCGCTGCAGAAGAAACACATTTTTTGGAGCGGCTGCACAGAAGAACCGCGGGAATCAGAAGTGAGCGTTGTGCTAAAAACAGGCCCATGGTCAGCGACTGGAGCTGAACTGTAACATAGTAAAGTGCGGTGAGATAATTGCTTCAAGCCTTGTGACTCCGTCCTTCCTTTCCTCAGACTGCGAGGAGAGCAGAGCAGGAGACATTTTCCCCCATTGTGGGATAATTTTTGAGGCTTGAAAATGTTTCCATACTTAAGTGAAGACAGAGTGTTTTAATCTCAAGAAGTCTGCTGAATTTATAAACCCCAAATTAGATCAGGTCAATTGAAACACTGCACTTCAAGTAACTTAAAATGGTTTCATTTAGGTTTTGGGTCTGAGAATGTATGTTTGGATTATAAATTAAATATAAAGCAGACATTGGTGGAGGGGTTAAGTGTCAAGATGTAATTTCAACACTTTCAAAACCTTTTCTTTGGCATTATTTCTAGAAAAGGAAAACCCGAGATCCTATTTCCCCTCACCCAAATCCCCAGCCACCCCCAACTGCTATCTCCACAGATGGGTGAATCTTGGCAAACACAACACTGAATTCGCCAATGGCCAACATGAAATTCCTTCCTCCATACTTGAGGAGAGAATCTGGCCATGTGGGTGTTAATCCTTCTCACTTAGCTTGCCCAGATGGACACGTTACGGCAGTGGGTGACGCTGCCCTTCCAATGCTCCCACAGGGGTAGGTCCAGCACGGGGGACCCCTGCGGAAACATCTTGGCCAATTCTGTGACCTCCAGGCCATATCACCATAACCATGTCAGTGTGTTGGGGCAAGAGACGTGACCCCTGACAGTCCAAAATACCCTGGCAAATCCCTCTAATCCAGACACAGTGGCCTGTTTGGCTGGGAGAGGAGAGGGAAGATACTGGCATTAGTGACATTGGCATCCC